TACCATCAAGAACCAGAAGGATCAAGACTTCATTTATTGGAATTATCTGACAAAGATCATAATCCAACAGTAAAAACTCTATGACAAATTTTTCAAAATCAAAAAGCACTTCTAAAATTCAAAAACCAATAACGGAATTATGAAACAATAGATTTAATAGAAGAACAGACAGCATTGAAGAGAGAGTTTCAAAGACAGAGAGAATTAGTGGCTGGAACACAGGTCTGAAAAATTACCTAGAAAAGAGTATCAAAGAGACAGAATACAAAAGAGAGATTAAGAGACAGAAAATACATCAAGAAGCCATAACACATGTCCAATTAGACTTCCAAAAGGAGAGAAAATGAGGCAGAGGCAATAAAGGATAAGGGCTAAGAATTTTCTAGAACCAATTAACATCCACCTATGGGTTTGAAAAGCCAAATAAATGCTAAGCAAAAAACCATAAATCCACACCCATACATGTTTTAATGAAACTACAAAAAGCAAAAGTCAAAGAAGAGATTTTTTGAAGTATCCAGAGGGAAAAAGTCACATTACCTTTAAACACCTTAGGTAGACTTACAGCTAACTTCTCAAAAACAATAATGGAAGTCAGAAGACAGTAGAATGATATCTTCAATGTTGTGACAGAAAATAACTGTCATCAAGTAAAAATATATTTCAAGAATGAGGACAAAATAAAGGTATGTTCAGATAGCAGACACTCAAAGAAATGCTGAAAGTCACACTTCAGACAAAAGGACAGTGATCCCAGATGGAAGATCTGAGATTAAAAAAAAATAAAAAAGGTGAATGAAGAACAAAGTGGTTTGATTATATGGATAAATCTAAACAGACACTGATGCTAAAAAACAATAATAATTTCTTATGGGGTTAAAAGAAAAAAATGAAAATGCCAAACAACAATATATAGTCATGTTCCGCTTAACGACAGGGATACCGGTTTGATTATGTGGATAAATCTAAACAGACACTGATGCTAAAAAACAATAATAATTTCTTATGGGGTTAAGAGAAAAAAATGAAAATGCCAAACAACAATATATAGTCATGTTCCGCTTAACGACAGGGATACATTCCGAGAAATGAGTCATTAGGCAATTTTGTCATTGTACAAACATCATGGAATGTCATAAACCTGGATGGTATCGCCTACTATACACACCTAGGCTATCTGGTAGAGCCTATTGCTCCTACCTGAAAAATGTGTTGTGCTACAACGTTATGACAGTTACATTATCACTAGGTAATAGGAAATTTTCAGCTCCATTATTATCTTATAGTCTTACAGTCTTATATGCAGTCCACTGTTGACCAAGACATCATCATGTGGCTCATGACTATATAAGTGTGTGTGTGTATGTGTTACAGTTAAACTCAGTTAAAGTATTCTAACACCCTTATATTATTCAGAAAGAGGGTTTAAGATATGAACTAAGAGTAAGGTAACTGAAGTATATGCATGTTGGGTAACCAACAAAAGTGTAAGAACAGAGAATTCAGCTCCCAAATTAAGAGGAAAACAGAGTTAAAATAAATAAATAAATAAGTACAAAAGAAGAGAAGAGCAGGACAACAGCACAAAAAAATGTAGCTACAAATTAAGAAAGCTGTGATAGATTTAGACAGGGCTGGCTTGTTAGCCAGTTGGTTAGAGCACAGTATTATAACACCAAGGTCAAGAGTTTTGATCCCTGTACCAGCCAGCCACCAAAAAAAAAAAAAAAAATTTAGACATCTTTTTAAGCTTTCATTAAACGGACCCCTATCAATCACAGTATTACAGAATAGTCCAAACCCCTTTTAGTTTTTTCATTCACTTCAATAAATATTTACTAAACATCTATAATATGTCAGGCCCTGTGGCAGGCACAGATTATAACAGAGACTTGGTTCCTGCTTTTATGGAGGAAAATGGGTAAGAAAGGCAGCATTCAAGAAGTTAATTATACCATCACAAATGTGATCACTGCTATCATGTCACTAAATTATCTTTTTCACACCATCAGGCACTCTTTTGTTCCTATATCTTACACAGTTATTTTCCCTTAAGAAAGTGCTCAAGGAGAAGGAGTTAGGACTTTGCTAAATAAAAGCCTAATAAAACAGTAAACCAATACATACCAGATATTACTATACTTAGTTTGATCTGCAGTTAGTAGTCTGTCTTGAAAGCTGGTTACTAATTCTGGAGCAGTCCATCGCAGAGGGAAAATTTTTTTATCATCTGTTTCAATATAATCCTCCTGTTTTGTTAGAAAGCATATAGAATGTTGAATAGAATTATACTTTTAGTGAGCTCAATGATTTAATTCCAGGACATCTCAGAAAACATATACCCAACCCAAAAAAACGTATCAGAAAAAAAGCGGGCATGAAGAGAGACTTTCTGGGCAGAAGGTGTGTGAGAAGTTCCTCTGAAGCCTCCTGGGCTTCAGAACTGGTCTCTGAGCCATGAACACTGGCTAAGTCATCCTTCCTGGAAAAGGACGGTACGCAATGTCTGATGCATACAACACACAACCTCTTTTAAATGTACTGGGCCCTATTCACTGAACAGGGGAGTGATGCTGGTTAATGAATAAGAGTCCAGGCTTTAGAACCTGACAGACTGGGTCATGAGTCTTCACTCTACCACTTACCAGCTATGTGACCCTTGGCAAGCAACAAATACACAAAGCCTTTTTCTTTGTCTGTAAAATGAGGATAACAAAAACCTACCTACTTTTGTGATGGGGATTAAATGAGATAATGCAGGCAAGTACTTCACAGTGCTTGGTATATAGCAAGTGCTCAAGATGCTAGAGCTACTATGCAGACAAATGACCAACTTATATTTGCATAATATTGTTAAAAACTATTACCCTTTTGGACCTCACAAGAACCCCATAAGACAGAACAGATATTATCCTTATGTTGCTACTTAGAAAATGGAGGTCAAGTGGCTTAATTGAAGACTCCTGATGGCACAGAGCTGGGACTATCTCATTCTTTGCCCCACATCATGCCACTTTATTCAGTTGGGCTACACAGACACACATAAGTGAAAATCTCATCTACTTCTTCACTTATTTTCTCTGAGGATACATTTACAATAGAGTTAAAAAACCTAAATCTCAAGCTTCCTGAATCTGAGCTGAAGTTTTACCAACCACATAACAGATAAATATTTATATGACATGTATATTTTATTATACAGGTAATAATTGTTATTCTCACATGTCCATCCTAAAATTTATTATGTAACGTCATACTTTATTAATTACACTGTGTATAAATCTTTTTTTTTTTTCCTTTTTGTCTTTTTTCGTGTCCAGCAACGGACCGCAACCCTCAGTGTGGCGCCCGTACCGGACCGGGACCGCAACCCTCAGTGTGGCGCCCATACCGGACCGGGACCAGCAACGGGATCGCAACCCTCGGTGCTGCGCCCGCCCCTTGCTCAGCCAGTGAGCGGGAACTGGTCTGTATGTGGGATCCGAACCCTCGGCGGGAGCGCCGCTGTGCTCCCAAGCGGCGCACTGTAGCAGTGCGCCACCGGGCCGGCCCTGTGTATAAATCTTTTTAAACAAAGCAACTGGAAAACAAAATCACAAAATCTCAATCACTGCTGCTGATATAGATAAACCACCCAGCAGAAGTCAACACTACCAGTGAAATGACTGGAGCAAACCCCTCTCAGAAAGGCATTACAACCAAGATTCTTACTCTTCTCTTACAAAAATGGAGTGGCATTTTGTGATATTACAACTTCACAATCAAAATTAAGTCAGATAAAGGAGACAACATTTAAACCTCTGGCTTACCTTGTACCTGCTGAATCCTATTCCATAATCTCCCACTTTCACATTTAAGTCAGAGGTAAGAAAACAATTCCGCAGGGCTAAATCACTGCAAACAGAAAGAGTGAAGTGAACACAATAGCAAGAAGAATCAACAACCAGAATAATGTTGCATGAAACTGCTACAGAGAAAGGCTTTCTCTAGGAATCAGAGTAGTATAACATACTCTCAATTACTTAAATAATGGAGATGATCACATTTTTGGGGTAAATAACCATAAATGCTAAGGTTAAATACTGACCATATGTGTACGATATCCTACATTAAAGCCAGTGTTATGGCTTGCTTCCTAGTATTTTAAGTTACTGAGAAAGAATTTTAAAATACTACTAGCTAAACTGAATCTTTTTACAACAATTTGTATTATTTGAGTAATTGTCTAGTAATAGTCTTTTTGTTCTAAAATTAATGAAGTTACAAATTCAAGCACCCCCAAAATCTACATTAGTAAAAATGTTTCCTTTTTCCTTCTTTTAAAGGTAAGTAAGGGCCAGCCCATGGCTCACGTGGGAGAGCCTGGTGCTGACAACACCAAGTCAAGGGTTAAGATCCCCTTACCGGTCATCTTTAAAAAAAAAAAAAAAGGTAAGTAAGCATTATAATCAGGCCCTTTCAAGCTTACTGAATTTGAGTTTTACTGACCACATAACAGAGATAAAAATCACTCTCATCTCCTCCAAACTCCACCTCTCCACAAGGGAAGTAAAAAGCAGATTTTCAAGTCTTAAAACATTTTTACTTAAATAATTTATTTTAAGAACAAGTTAATTTTTTTTTTCCTTTTTGTCTTTTTCCGTGTCCGGCAACGGATCGCAACCCTCAGTGTTGCCCCCGTACCGGACCGGGACCGGCAACGGAATCGCAACCCTCGGTGTTGCTCCCGCGCCTCGCTCAGCCAGTGAGCGGGAACTGGTCTGTATGTGGGATCCGAACCCTCGGCGGGAGCACCACCGCACCCCCAAGCGGCACACTATAGCAGTGCGCCACCGGGCCCGCCCCAAGAACAAGTTAATTTTTAAAAATACATAATTTGACAAGTAAAAACTACTTTTTTTAAAGGAACTTCCCAAATAGACAACAGATTAAACTTTTTTTTGAAATTTTCACTTTAGCCCTTAGAATCTTTTAAATCATCAATTGGCATATGAATAAAAAAGCCACCAAATTAAAATAGAAATGGATAATTTATAGTTTGAAATCATAGTTATCAAAAACTGAATTTTTATAGCTCAAAATTTAAAATGTTTGTCTTTATATGATTGTAAAAGACTAAAAACTTAAACTATTAAATTCTTATTTTCAAAGATTTTAATTTCCAAAGCTCACATGTCTGAAATATAATAACAATGAAGATGATCATGACAACAGCTAATACTGATATTAATTCAATGACAGCTTGGTATAACAGCACTGACTCAATTAATAATGGCTAATATTTACAAAGCACTTTTTTTTCTATTTTTATTTTATTGATATACAATGCAGTCAATTTTCGTGTTCCTTTACCAATTCCTCCTTTCCCCCCTCCCTCTCACTCCTCCCCCCCAATCAACATCATTTCTGTTCACCTGTCTTATCAAGTTCAAGGAATTGATGAAAAGCACTTTCTTTGTACAAGGCATTTCTCTAAGCGCTTTACATTTTCTCTAGGCATTTAATTTTCTCAACAAACCTATGAGGTGGTTACTATTATTTTCCCCATTAATAAACAAGAAAACTGAGGCACAGAGAACTGAGGTAACTTTGCTAGGATCATAGCATCAGCTTGTTACATATCAGTAGTATTTTCATACCTTTACCATCAATACCTACCAATGGCAATACACTAAAGTTGCAGACTGTGCCCTACATATTGTTGGTCCTCAATAAATATGCTGATTTGAATTCCAGGTTAGTTATGTTGAATTACTCTCTACACTCTATGTTTAGAAGAGGTGATTTTCATGGTGCTCTATCTAGAAATCTTCAGGCTTGTGGAGGTGTCTGGGAAAAACCTTGAGACACCCCTGACTCCACTTTACTTATATATAGACTCTTCCAATCTTTTTTTTTTTTTTAAAGATGACCGGTAAGGGGATCTTAACCCTTGACTTGGTGTTGTCAGCACCACGCTCAGCCAGTGAGCGAACCGGCCATCCCTATGTGGGATCCGAACCCGGGGCCTTGGTGTTATCAGCACCGCACTCTCCCGAGTGAGCCACGGGCCGGCCCAACTCTTCCAATCTTAAGAAGATGATTGGTCCCCGTCTTTCGGAATTAAGCAAAAAAGGGAGAAGGAAGGACATGCCATTTGAGGGCAGAGAAATGAAAATGCTTTAAGAAGGCTGCTTTATCTACTGGATCAATAGATGCAACCAGACAGAGCTGTGGGTTTTGCCAACACAGGTTCAGTTACTGAGCACCACTAACAAGCATTTCTAGGGTCTCTATAAATAGTTCCTGCTAGAACTTCTCTACGTCTCCCTCCTAAGACAAAAGCTAAAAGCAGGATGCCAGCTTTCCAACTGGGGTATGTGTGTGTCCTCTTCAGGCTGGCTGGGGTGTGACTCAGAGCTCAAGCCATTCAAACACCTTCTGAGCAACAGGACGGCCTGCTTCCTCCCTCCTCATTGCCTCTCTCTCCTTGCAAACGTTCAGTGTAGGTCTTTGGATACTTCACAAGTGAGGGCTAGACAAAAGATGAACATGACGAAGGCCTTCGGCTCTCCTTATAAAATTCTAATGCAATCCAACTGATATTTCCAGGGAAAGGAGGAATACTGCTCATTACCTGGAATTTCTAGTAAACCTGCTCCCCACCTCCACCCCAAGTACCCCAGGCACCATGGCATAGTGGGAAGAGCACTGGACAAAGTCAGGAGGCCTAGAGCTGATCTCAGCTTCACTGCTTCAGAACCACATGATGCTGGGTAAGTCATGTGCATATCAGAGCCTTAGTTTCCTCAGAAAACAACAGGGATGTACCTGAGATGGCTAACTCACAAAGCTGTTATAAGGGTAAAATAAAAATATATATGAAGTATTTTGAAAACGTTAAAGTGCTATACAAATTCAAGGTAATGATATAATTCAGCTCAAAATTGGTAAAAACAAATATTCCCTAAACCCAGTAACCTGCAACCCTGAAGATCAGAAAAACACAAAGGTGTAACTTCTTAACAAGAGGTAACTCTGATGTCAATGGCTGCTTTTGTCAGGAAATATAAACACATAGCCAGTATATTCTCCCTTCAAGTGGAAAAACAGGTCTAGTGACCAGGCTGCCAAAGGCACCAGCTCTGAAAGGCTCTTAGAAGGCTGTGCCCTGTCACCCTTGTTTGGCAGCACATGCTGTAACTCAGCTGACAGTAACCACGTGAGTGGAGCTGATGGACACAGGAAGTGGGAGTCCAGTTCTGAAGCACCCCCATCCCCATTCTCAAGGAGCCATCACTACTTGCTGCTAACTCACGCTAGGACTAGAGCATGCTGTAACTCAGCTGACAGTAACCACGTGAGTGGAGCTGATGGACACAGGAAGTGGGAGTCCAGTTCTGAAGCGCCCCCATCCCCATTCTCAAGGAGCCATCACTACTTGCTGCTAACTCACGCTAGGACTAGAGCTTGCCCATCTTCAGAAGGACTCTCCAACGTAAATGGCTCAACGCAGTGGGAGCCATTTTCAAAATAACCCATACCTCTATTTCTGTTAACTATTTATGCTTTCCCGAGTGGCCTGAATTCCTAATAAAAAGAATAACAAATAGGAAGCAAAATGACTGAAAGTTACTGAACATTCTTCTAGGAGCTTGGCGTACGTTCTCTTATTTAATCTTGACAACAGCATGTCGGGGTAAAGATGATTCCCATTTTTAAAAGAAATAAGCTCAGAAGGATTAAGTATTGAGGCCTATATTGGTAAAGCTGATGAGAGGCAAATTAAAACTTCAACCCCAAAGTCTCTCTCTGCTCTCCACACCACTCTGCCTTTGGCAGCCACGAAGGTTTAAGGTTCTAAAGAGACACTGCCGCTCATCACGCTGAGATGAGATGTAGAGGTACAAGCAGAAGATTAAAACAAGAGGATTCTGATAAGGCACGAAGAGGCTACTTACGGAGTCCCCTGACGGCTTTTGCCCTGCTTATGAGGTCAGTCCTTGCTAGCTGAGCAGCGCCACATTACTGAGCACACACTGCATGTCAGGCAGCTGCCAGGCTCTGGTACGGAGAGAATTCCTCCACTGTGAGATTCTGATTAGCCCCCAAGAAAAATGCCTCTGGCTGGAATGGAATCTACCACTGAGGCCCAGGTTTTGAGGACTGGTGATAAAATAGGGAGAAAGCCTTCAGTTCCGGGTTTTCTCCAGGGTTGAGCAAGAGCTGACACTGAGTTGGACAACTTCTGGTTTTGGCTTATTGCCTGTAAACAACTATAAAACTGTACCAAATATGTAAGAAAGACGTTGTCTTAGATGATGGACAGCCCAGGGTTCTGATCCTGGAAAGAAGGGAAATACCAGAGGTGGGCTCCACATCCACTCAGCTTTCTGTTCAGGGCAACTTTCCAAGTCATGGAAAGAGATATGGAGCCCAGAGAGCAACAGCCTCCTTGGGTGATGGAAACAAAGCAGAGTTGGAGGCTGCTGATGAGGCTGAATTTGCAGGGTATGGGAAGGCTACTCTGACCTAAAGTGAGGGCTCCTCTAGGCCTGCCCTGACAATGTCTAAAACCAAGATTAAGCTGAGCTGCCAAATACCTGCCTTCCAGGACAACGGGGTGGTTCTCACATTTGAGTGTGTATAAGAATCACCTGCAGAGCTGGTTAAAACAAAATGCAGTAGGCCTGGGCTGGGCCCAGAGATTATATATCTCTAACTAGTCTGCTGATACTGCTGGTCACAGGACCACACTTTTGAGGGCTGCACTTCAGGAAGACACAGAAGACTTCTGTCTTCACAGAAGACAGAGTGGGTGTTTGTAGCAGAACTCTGGGTTTGGTAAGCCTGTGACCTCAGGCTCATACGCCCAGGACCTAAACCATAACCAGATTGGTTTCTAAGGGATAAGATGCCAGGAAAAATGCTATGCCACTCACCAAAGTTACTACCTATAAGACAACCTCCCAAATCCAAGTTTAGACTAGAAGGCTGCATCAGATCCAGATCAAGGCCGGCCAGCATGATTCATGTGCACAGTATAATCAGTGGCCAAGATGCTAGCTAAAAACACAGCTAGCACTTTAATCACAGATCCCAGAACATTAATTTTCCCATGGGCCTAGGGTCACCTAGAAAACCGGAGCATTTAATACTATACATAAAACAAATGGATTTTAAACTGAGGGTTATAATCCCAAAATGATGTGGCCCAACATCTGATGATGTTCCCCCTTCATTTTTCTTTGCATGCACTCAGCCTACAGCACGCTTCCCCCTGACGACACAAAGCAGACGGCCCCACAAGTCTAGAGCTCTGTCCTTCCTAATCCTCTCATGAACAAATACACACATTCTGTGTAAACTGGGTAATATGAATCCTAGTCTTTTCTGTGTCTTCCTGAAGTGCAGCCAATGTTTTTTTTTTAAACTGTCTTCCTCCTTTCCCTCCACCATTCCAGGTAGTACCCATTTACAAACTTGTAGGTGTAATCTTTCTATATTTTTTCCATACTTAAACACATAGCATACATAATGTGCGCACACACACAATATACAAAGAAGGGGATTAAGATCATTTGCCTTACAAAAATGTGATATTATGCCTACTTATTTGCATCTCTATTTCTTACTTAACAAAATCACAACATGGAAATCTCTCCAAGTCAACTGGTCTAGAAGTTCTAAATCTTTATAATAGTTGTGCAATATTCTATAGTGTAGATGTACTTAAATTTATTCTGGCCCCTCCCCCTCCCTTGAACATTTACTTTGTTTCTTTTTTGCCACCACTTCAAACAATGCTGCAATAGTTTTATTTATTTTTTTGGCAGCTGGCCAGCACAGCGATCAAACCCTTGACCTTGGTGTTATCTGCACCACACTCTCACCAGCTGAGCTATCCAGCCAGCCTGCAATAGTTATTTCTAATACACATCTTTAAATTCTAGAGCTTATATTTTCTATGAGATTGAGTCTAGGAATGGTATTAAAGTGACCGTGTACTATTAATTATATAGATATTACTTAATGGCATTTCAAAAAAATTAAAATTTACATGCAATATATTATTAAACAATTAGTTAACATTTAATTGGGGGTGTTTTACTAGATCATTTTCAAACATAGCTAACAACTTTCAGCTGGACATGTGAGTGGTTCTATTTTCAACCAACACATGAAGACCTACTTAAGTTAACCAATACATGTTCTAAATTCAAACTTAAAAATGTTATATGGTATACTACCAACAAATAAAGAATTTAACACACAAAATTTTGTCCCCAGTGGAAATTTTACATCAAATATGGCTACTTTTTAAAACAAAGTAAAACAGTTGTCAATGGTTTCAAGATTTTCTTTACCTTGAGTTTTTGTACTTGAATAAAACCCAAACCATGTGATTTATCTTTATTTGCTCTAAAGTTCACAAGATTTTAAATTAATAAACTCAGGAAAATGCTATGTACTACATCACTGCCAATTTTTAAAATACACTAGTAGAAATGTACATGGGCTTTAAACACAATTTTTAGCTGTCTTTGATAACCTTATGTTGTTGATTCTGATAAGATACTTTTTAAATACTCCCTTCCCCCAAATTTAAAAATTCCTCAACCAAGTATTAAGCAATAATCATCTGTATTTTACAAAAGATTAATAACATAAATTATGCTAGGTATTAACCTGTTATAAAAGACTCAAAAATATAGGATTTTCCATTATAAGACAAACAGATCTTTGGATTTTGAAGTTTCCTGTAAGGGATTCTGCCTTAGACCTTAAGAAACCCATAACCTTTTGGGTCTTATTTGTTTATTTTTTGGCAGCTGGCCAGTACGGGGATCGGAACCCTTGACGTTAGTGTTATGAGTGGGACTTTTAAAAAAAACACTTTATCAGACTAATTTGTTCTCTACTGCAAGTCAAACAAGATATAGATGTGTAGTAAAAAGGTTAATAATTTTCCTTCTTCCCCACCCTGAAGTAATGTTGAGAGCTGAGAGGTAGTTTTCCAGGCTTGTTTTCTCTCTCTCTCTTTCTCTCTCTCTCTCTCTCTCTCTCACACACACACACACACCTAGAAATACAATCAGGTGTTTTCTTACTTTAACACTTCATAGATATCCCTTTAAGTCAAGTTACACAAGTGTTCCTTTTCAGGTCTTTGGATTATTGAGAGTTAAATGATTTACTTAAAGTCAACCAAAGAGAGGCTGCCTGGCTTCCCAGGAGATCTAAGAAATAATTTCAAACATATTTTAAACATAAAATCAGAGCTCAAAAGCCCAAGGGAGAATAAGCAGAAATCTCCTTTTGGGTTCACAGAACAGAACCATCATCTGAGATAGGACTCAAAGCCCTTTGTTGTTTTAATTATGAAAATCATCATAAATGATCTGAACAAAATACAACATGCTCCCAAGAACTGCTCCAAAAGCCCTGAAAGGTTTTGGCAAAAACATGTTACACGGATCCCTGTGTTGTTCACACACACCCCTGACCACCTACACCCCAGCCACAGGGGGGCAGATGTCTTCAGTTCGGATCCTGTGACACCCTGTGCTTCAGAGCAGGACCCTTAAGCTAACACTTTAGCTGGCCAGAAACCAATGCTACGATCTTATACAAAAAGATACAGCTGTCCTATGAGATTCTCTCTTCTTCTCTCAGGAGTGTGGACTAGGACATGCTGTGGAACTCAGCACGTAGACTCAGAAGCCTACAGCTGACGTGAAAAGGGTGCAACAGGCAAGATATCATGAGGTAGATTGAGACTGTTTACTCCCAACTCTGAGCCATGTACAATTTTTTACATTCTTTTAAATTCTGGAAATAAATTTCTACACCTTAGGCTGTGGTAAGAAATTTTATTCCTTGGTATTGGTTTAAAGGAAGCGTAACTTGGGCCGGCCCGGTGGCGCACTGCTACAGTGCGCCGCTTGGGAGTGTGGCGACGCTCCCGCCGAGGGTTCGGATCCCACATACAGACCGGCCGCTCACTGGCTGAGCGAGGTGCGGGCGCAACACCAAGGGTTGCGATCCCGTTGCCGGTCCCGGTCCGGTATGGGCGCGACACTGAGGGTTGCGATCCGTTGCCGGTCACGAAAAAAGACAAAAAGGAAAAAAATAAATAAATAAATAAAATAAAGGAAGCGTAACTCAACCCTTATTCGGACACCAGGAAGTACAGAATAACTTCTGCTTGTGTAAGCCAAGAGTTCACTATGACTTGTCCTTCAGGCTTGTGTAGCGCCTTTTCACCAACTGAATAGCTTCTTTAGGCTGCGACACCCACAGTGTGTGAGGTGCCCCTCTGAGTGGACAGACCCACCTGTGCAGGAAGTGCAGCTTGTGCATGGCTGCGAGCCCTGCAGCGATCTCACACGCCATCCTCTGCAGCAGCATGGTCTGTGAATCCCCCCGCAGGTGCTCTTGCTCACTGCGCAGATAAGCTTTCAGGTCACCCTGCAAATATTAGTCCATTTTAGTTTCAAATGTGGACTATTATGAGCAAACTGAGCACTCAAACATGTGCTTTGGTTGACATTAATTATTGACATTACTTATCAGAAATTACTTAAGTTTGTACTCAATAAAGAATATCAAACTTAACAGGTTTCCAATTACAAAAAGTAATTCCAACCCAATATTTCAAAAGTATGGAACACTATTATGCTTTTAGGGCCATTCTAATTAGTTTAAACATTAGTTTATTTTTGTTATATAAATACATGTAAAACAAAACAGGAAAAAAAAAAGAATTTTGCAATGATGCACAATTTAAACTAAGTGGGGTGTAGAAGGATAGAAATTTCCAGGTAACTAAGAGATGATATGGACAGAAAAATGCATGATCTCTTTAAGGATTCCAGGCGACACTTGGTCAGTGAGCACTTCACCAAGAGGTCATGTGGCTACCACCAAAGCACTGATGAACAAGAGAGAGGGAGAGAATGAAAGAAATACAGATGGAAAAGGAAGGGGAAAGTACATTCAGTGCTGAATTCCAGGCGACACTTGGTCAGTGAGCACTTCACCAAGAGGTCATGTGGCTACCACCAAAGCACTGATGAACAACAGAGAGGGAGAGAATGAAAGAAATACAGATGGAAAAGGAAGGGGAAAGTACATTCAGTGCTGGGAACAACTGCTTCTGGTCTCTCCCAGCTTCTTAGGGCCTGGGCCCTATGCTGCTTAGAGACCTCCGTGAGAAAGAACATTCCAGCTACTCCAGAACAACTCACCAACTTAATAAGCCTATTCAAAGGAGAGCAGGCTGAACAGGAAAACGAACAAACTCCAATTCAGACATCCAATACACAGACATGCAAACACGGGGCTCCCCAGTTCTCCGGTGTAACTTCCCTATGTCACCCTGTCTTTATTCCATGACTTTGATTTGGGATTGCATATTTTGGGAGGGAGGCGTTACAGCCTATCTGTTTTGGGAAATACACTTTTGAGAAAAATAAAATCTTCCACATTCTTCTTACCATGTGATTAAATATTTATTGATGTGATTTAATTCCAAATTAAAGCTTATTATATTCAGTTAATAAAATTTAGTAAGCAAGCCAATAGTGTTCAGTTTTCTTTAAATCTGAGTCAAAAAAAAGACTCCTGAGGAAGGAAATTTTCCTTGATCAACTAAAGAATACATTTCTTAGAACTGTTGCTGAAGATAGCAAATTTATCAAATTCTTCCCAGAATAAGACTTTAAAACACAAAATTCCTTTACAAACATTCGCCCACATTTAACAGTAAGAACACTCTCATGTAACTTCTAGGCCCATTCCAAGAATCTAAATTTGCTTTCATTACATTTCAATGATCTTTATGTAAATAGTAATGTTGATATTAATAATCACTATCATTTGAGCTTTCGAGCACCGTGCCAACAAGCCTTGTGCTAGGAGGTTTTACACTTGTTACTGCAAATACTTCTCACAATTTGAGATGTTTTTCAGACATGGAATTGAGGCTTAGGGAGGTTAAGAAATTTGCCTAAGGCCACAGAACCAATAAATGATAGTAGCCTTGTGCTTCTAATTTTCAGCTTACCAACCAGTCAAGAGAATTCTATTTAGCAAGAAAATTAAATTAGTATGCAGAGTAAATCAATAGAATTCTCCCAAGTGCACCATGACTGTTCTGCCAGGGAAGCAGTGACTCCCCTCGGTACACTCAGCTGCCATTACTGTCCTTTGCAGATTTCTGTCCAAACTTGACACTTTCTCCTTTTGTTCCCACTGGAATTATAAGCTGCTCCAGAGCAGAAACGGACATCTTTTTTTTTCCTTAAAAAAAAAAAATGCCTCTCCATGCAGTTTAGGCTCTATCCAGCGTGGGAGTTGTGGAAATAGTGAAAAATTTAGATGACAAAATAACCCAGAAAAAGTTTAGCAAAAAAATACAACTACAGGCTAACAGGATTTTTATCAGGTAGCCCATAAAGAAACTAAACGTGAAAATAGCTTGTCTATTTATTCATATTACCAAAGAAATGGCAACTTAAATTTTTTTGTTTAACCCCCTTGCTGTAATATCCATCTAAGGAAAAAACTATTCTCACATGAAAGTACGATTATGTTGTGCTGTATGTGGCCAATTCTCAAAACAAAAGGTAGCTGCTAGCAAACACTTAACACTTCACAAGTGACTGGCCATGAAGGCAGAGGAAGAGCCAAATAGGTGTAGTTATTTTTCAAGGTTATCTAAAGTACATTCATAAACACTCACTGTTTTTAAAATGTCTTCTCTCTGCACATCCCACTCCCCAAATTTCGCTAGAAGAAAGAATATCATAAACAGAAGGGGATTTTACTTAAGGATAAGGTCAGCACAATCTAAGCAAAAATAGCTTTAACCCAGGAATAAAAAATCAACATCAAAGATTAATAAGGAGCCTGATTATTGTTTTCTCATGGATGAGACTGGTAATGGATTGTATAGGATCCAGGATTAGTTCTATGCTCTAGAAAATTCCTTAGAGATCTCCTGGAACCATAGTTTAAAAGAAAAAATCAGCATAAAATCTTTAATTTACAGTAAAGATTTTTGTATTAAACAAGTACTAAAAATTGACTCATTCTAGCCCCAAAAGACTAATCTACATTCAGATATCTGGTTTATATTATTTATATTTTAATGGTACTTAGTGGAAAGACATGGATTATTACTTTGGTACACTATTTAAAGAAAAAAAAGAAGAAAACATCAAGAACAGCAATGTATTCTGAATTAAAATAAAGTTTCTCTTATCCAGGTTTTTAAAATTTTTCAGCTCCTTCCCAACTAACCCCCCCCAAAAAAAAACTGCAAAAGAAAACTCATGACACTAGATGGCAGCAAAGTACAGAGCAAGCAATTTTCTCTTATCCAGGTTTTTAAAATTTTTCAGCTCCTTCCCAACTAACCCCCCCCAAAAAAAAAACTGCAAAAGAAAACTCATGACACTAGATGGCAGCAAAGTACAGAGCAAGCAATTGGCTGTGACTTCTTGAAACGAAAACAGACCTTTAACAAAGCCCTGTGAGTCCTCCTAAATTCTAAAATCAACGGACAGGAGGCCTCTATTCAGCTTTTTGCAGGACACTGAGAGCAATGAACGAATTTCATTACAATGTCATAACTTAACAAATAAATAGCTTTGTAAGTGAAAAATATAGTCATTTACACTTTTATGATTTGGGAAAAATTTACAATTTTCTTTTTTTTTTTTTTTTCCTTTTTGTCTTTTTTCGTGACCGGTAACGGGATCGCAACCCTCAGTGTCGCGCCCGTACCGGACCGGGACCGGCAACGGGATCGCAACCCTCGGTGTTGCGCCCGCACCGCGCTCAGCCAGTGAGCGGACCGGTCTCTATATGGGATCCAAACCCTCGGCGGGAGTGCCGCCGCGCTCCCAAGCGCCGCACTCTACCGAGTGCGCGGATCCAAACCCTCGGCGGGAGTGCCGCCGCGCTCCCAAGCGCCGCACTCTACCGAGTGCGCTACCGGGCCGGCCCCAAATTTACAATTTTCTAAAAAAATTTTAATGAAAGGATGAAAGAAGACATAGACAGCATCATACCCACCCTCCTGCTGATTTAAGGAAGCCTGAACATTTCACCTGAAGCCAGCCCACGCCTCCGCCCATCCCAAATACCTCCAGAAGTTCTCGACGGTCTATTTTTTCTGATCACCACTGGTGCTCTTGTCTTGTTATCATGGGTTATTCCCCCTTGTGCCTTTCTAAGCTCAGTGTCCTCATGAAGCCATCTCTTCTCTCTGCACTAATGCTCAAATACCTCTCAGATAAATCCAACAAAAAAACCAAACAAGTCTTGCTGACTCCACACTCCTCTCTCACTACCATCCCATTTCTCTCTTTTCATGGATAAACTCCTCAGAAGCCTGGTCTCTTCTGGCTGACTCTACCTCCTGGCCTCCCCTCTCTCACGAGCCCCCCAGACACACTTTCACCCACTGTTTGGCTGCAGCTATCCCAGCCAGGGGTATCAATGAATGACAACTTCCTTGCCAAACACACTGGTTTCTGGGCTGCATCTCACCAGCATAAACAAAGAGATAGGCCTGTCCCTTCTTTCTTTAAACACTTCCTTCTTCACCTGACCTGACTTCAGGATATCACAATCTCCTGGGTTTCGTCTCATCTCACTGGCCGTTCCTGTCTTAGTCCGCTTTGCTGGGTCCTCCCCCTCTCACTGATCCGTAAGTGATGGCATGCTCCAGGGCTCCATCCTTGGTCTTTGGCACTGTGGACATTCATTGCCTGGGTGATTTTATCCACCCCAGGGCTTTAAAAACCGTGCCTCGCATGTGTCTCTCTGGCTCAGACCCCTTATCTCCTGACTTGACATCCTCCATGTATGTCTAAGAGGCATCACAAACCTAATACGTCCACCAAACTCTGCTAATCTGCCCATCTCAGTAAACGGCATCACCGTTTTCCCAGAGGGTTCAACCAAAAATGAAGATGTCATTCCTGAGTTCTCTCTGTCTTTAGATTCCCACATCCAACCCATCCCCCCAAGTCCAGGATCTATTTTCAAACTAAATTCAGAACGAGACTCCCTTCCACCAACATCACTGCTATCGTGGGCACTCCTGCAACAGCACCCGACTGGCCTCCCTGCGTCCACCTGAGCAGCCAGTCTTTTAAAACATAAATTAAATCATATTAGCCCTTGGTTCCTACCTAACATTATGTGTTGCACTCCTGCAACAGCACCCGACTGGCCTCCCTGCGTCCACCTGAGCAGCCAGTCAGTCTTTTAAAACATAAATTAAATCATATTAGCCCTTGGTTCCTACCTAACATTATGTGTTTACTTGTCTGTCTCTTCCACTAGAAAGTAAGCTAGACATGGCTGGGACTCATGTCTGGTTCTCTACTGCATCCCTAAAACCCAGAACAGTGCTGGGCACACAACACGTGCTTAAATATTTGATGAATGAGTGG